GTCACCACTCTTTGGGTGAAGAAATGTCTCCTCATCTCCGTCCTAAATGGTCTACCCCGAATCTTCATACTGTGACCCCTGGTTCTGGACACACTCACCATCAGGAACATCCTCCCTGCATCTACCCTGTCCAGGCGTGTTAGAATTTTTTTAGTCTCTGAGATTCCCCCTAAATCGTCTGAACTCAATCTTAACCTAGTCAATCTCTCCTCGTACGTCAGACCCACCATCCCTGGAATCAGCCTGGTAAACCTTCGCTGCATTCCCTCGAGAGCAAAAGCATCCTTCCTCAGAAAAGACCAAAATTGCACACAATATTCCAGGTGTGGCCTCACCAAGGCCCTGTAAAACTGCAAAAACACATCCCTGCTCCTGTACTCAACCTCTCGCAATGAAGGTCAACATACCACTTACCTTCTTTACCACTTGCTGCACCTACATGCTTCCCTTCAGTGACAGGTGCACAAGGACACCCAGGTCCCACTGCACACTCCCCTCTCTCAATAAACAGCCGTATCCACTGGATGCTCATTACCCACTTTGCTGGTTACATCCTCAAAGAACTCTAGCAAGTTTGTCAAGCACAACTTGTCTGTCATGAATATATGCTGGCACTGGTGAGTTCAGCTTTGTTTTCCCAGTGTTCAGTTATTTCCTCCTTTATGATTGACTCCAGCAACTTTCTCACTAACAAACTAACTGCTCTATTGTCTATGTCCTTTTTGTATAAGAGTGTCACATTAGCATGTTTCCAAACCATCGGTACCTTTCCAGAATCCAGGGAATTTTGGAATATCATACGAATACAGCCACTAGTTCTGCTGCGACTTTCTTTAATACCTTAGGCCCAGGGACTTACCTGCCTTTAATCACACGTCAGTTTACTTAATATCTTCTCCCTAGCTATAGTGATTTCACCAAGTTCCTGTGTAGTTACTGCAGTTTTTGGGAAGAAATTATCATCTTCCACTGTCAAAACAGACAAAAGATTTCTGTTGAGGGTTGCCTTGGTTTTTGAGAGAGGTGAAGGCAGTGGGCTGTGTGCACACTGTAATTGGTATCTGGAAGTTTGTGGGTGAGAGGGTGAAAAGAACTGGGTCTTTTCCTACCACACCCCAAGCTCCTCCACCCAGCCGAATGTGTCGATGGTCACTTGGTGCAATCTCCATTCCGCTTGGCTCTGCTACAGTAACTAGCTTGGACTTTGGTATTGGGCTTCCCAGCTTCTCTCTGACTCCTCTCTCCATTTCTCTGTTGCTGGCAGTCCTGATATGAAAATGATGAGTTCTGGGAGCAGTGCCTGGGAGGGACAACTCCAGAGTATGGTTCTCTCCGAGTATGCTTCGACTGAGATGAGTTTGCATGCACTCTACATGCATGAGGTAAGCAAGACTCCTCAGCACCACCACACCCTGCTCCTTTCAGTGCCACCCTCAGGTTTCTCAGCTGTGTGCACCTGACCAGCAGTACCTCCAAACATGGGTTTCTACTCACTCCTGAGCAATGTCAGCTCACAGACCCATCCTGTTCTCGCCATCCGGCCCCCACTAGGTCAGAGATCATTCACGAAGTTGTATCATGGCTTCACTTGTCTCCACCAAGACCCCCCACCCCCGGACTCTCCCCGTGCTCCCTGAGCCCTGATCGTTTCTTTATTAACTTTGTTCATGTCCTCTCCAAGCTCATTTTGTCCAGGGGGACCCACCCCCTATTGTTGTAGCATCAATATGGCACACAGCTAGAGGCCCTTTGGCCTGTCATTCCCTGCCGGCCATATTCCTGTTAAACTGCTGACCACTCAGCCTCCCTGCTGAGCCACTGTTAGCCAACAGTCTTACTTTTTAAGTTATCCTTTAAATATTGATAAGGGGGGAGAAGATGAATTATGAGGGTAAGCTAACAAGTAATATCAAAGAAGATTGCAAGACTATTTTTAGATATTTAAAAGGTAAGAGAGAGGCAGGAGTAGATGCTGGACTGCCGGAAAATGAGGCTGAAGAAATACTAATGGCAGAGTAACTGAATAGGTGCTTGGCATCAGTTTTCACAGGGAAGGCAATGGCAGCAAACCAGTCAGGGGTCAGAGGTGAGTGTAGTGGCCATAACAATGGATAAGATGCTGGGAAGCTGAAAGGTCTGAAGGTGAATAAATCACCTGGACCAGATGGAGTTCTGAAGGGGCTAGTTGAGGAGACTGTAGAGACATTGGTAGTGATCTTTCAGGAGTTACTAGAGTCAGGGATAGTCCCGGAGAACTGGAAAATGGCTAATGTAACACCCCTGTTTAGGAAGGGAGGGAGGCATTAGACAGGAAACTATAGGCTGATTAGCCTGACCTCGGTCGTTGCTAAGATTTTAGAGTCCATTATTAAGGATGAGATTGCGGAGTACTTAGAAGTGCATGGTAAAATAGGGCTGAGTTAGCACAGCTTCATCAAGGGGAAGTCATGTCTGTCAATTCTGTTGGAATTTTTTGAGGAGGTAATGAGCAAGTTAGACAAAGGAGAGCCAGTGGACATGATCTATTTAAATTTCCCGAAGGTCTTTGACAAGGTGCCACACAGGAGGCTGCTAAATAAGATCAGAGCCCATGGTGTTAGGGGCAAGGTACTGGCATAGATAGAGGATTGGCTGACTGGCAAAAGGCAGAGAGTGGGGATAAAGGGATCTTTTTCAGGATGGCAGCCGGTGACTAGTGGAGTTCCGCAGGGGTCAGAGTTGGGACCACAACTTTTCATGTTATACATTAACGATCAGGACAAAGGAACTGAGGCCATTGTTACTGCAGATGACACAAAGCTAGGTGGAGGGACAGGTAGTGTTGACTAAGCAGGGACGCTGCAGAACAATGTGGACAGGCTAGGGCAGGATCAAGGGCACAGCGTCAGACTGAAAGAACAAACTTTTAAAATTGAGATGAAGAGGAATTTCTTCAGCCAGAGGGTGGTGACTCTGGAGCTCATTGCTGCAGAAAGCTGTGGACCCCAAGTCACTGTATTTAAAACAGGTTCTTGATTAGTAAGGGGATCAAGGATTACAGAGAGCAGGCAGGAGACTGGGACAGAGAAACATTCAGCCTTGGTTAAATGGTGGAGTAGACTCGATGGACCAAATGGCCTAATTATTCTTTGATATCTTATGCTCTCTGTCTTCAGGGGTTGGCCCTTCCCTTTCAATCTGGTGTCACAACCACTCCTTTCAAAAAAATAACAGCCCTTGAGCTTTCTGTCCTGGCAAACTGCCATCCCATTACCAGCCTCCCACACCCTTTTCCGTCTTCCCCAGGACTGCATGTCAGAATCTCTTCAACCAGCTATCTACCCTGTCAATCTCTAAGTTACCAATCTCACCATCTGTGCCTGTCCCTGTCCCTGTGTCCAGGGTAAACACTCCCCCCTCATTATTCTCCCCCCACCGCTGCAGCCTTTAACTCGGTGACCCCTCCAACACCTCTCCACCATCGCTCAGCTGCTGTGACTGCTCTCTCCTGGTCCCAGTCTCCTCATAGCCCAAGAATATCCAGAAATTCCCTTCCTGCTCCTGCCGTGTTCTGGCTGTGTCCCTGGGCGATTCCTGGCCCCTCCTGTTTATCCACATTCCGCCCCTCAGCAACAACACACATCAGTTTTTGCAGCAGCAGAAAGCAGCTGTTCACCATCTTGTACGATTTGGAGAATTGGGGCATGTTTGTATTGTAACCCCATTGCTCTGCCTTGTTTCCATATACCTCAAAACACGTCCAAATAAATCGCTCCATCTCCGTTGTGACATTTTAAATGGGTGCTGAGCACCAGTGGCTGCATGGAGAGTGAGAGCACCAAATCATGACTCTTTGTCATAGGAGGCAATATTTTCTGACATCAACCCTAAATGATGCTCACTGTCTGTGCTCCCCCAAACCAGAGTTTCTTTCTGTTAATCCTAACAAACACTTAACCATTTAAAACATGTCAGTTAGATCACCTGTTAATCTTCTACACTCAAAGGAAGCAAACACATCCTGTTCTCATAATTTAATCTGTCTCACCCCAGAATCATTCTGGGGAGTCTGCCCTGTTTCTCCCTTCAAGGCCTATATCTCCTGCCTGAGGTGTGGGACCCACAGCTGATGCGAATGTGCAGTTAAACTGCCAATGCACCTCACCCAGCTCTCTGTCTGCCTCCAGCTTCACAAGCAGCAAATGCAGGGAGAACCATCACGTCACGTATGGCACCGACAAGACAGTGATGACAGCGGTGAGAGCGGTGTGGAGGAGGCTGAGCTGAGGAGACCATCACCAATGACCATTCCACGATCCTCTACCTACCCTGTCGCTGCCAGCAGAACATCGGATCTCCGTGAGGAACCAACTGGTCTCCTACACACTGTCCACAGGAGATATGGAGGAATCAGCAGTAAGACTGGGACTTCGGGGGAGGGCATGAAGGGGTTAATAACATAACCAGTAACCAGAAACCAATGTTCACATCTTGTGCTCAGTGCAATCTCCAAGTGTTACACCTGCCTGTGCCCCTATAAATGTTTGACTCCCAGCTCTGAGAGGGATAGACCTTACTTCTACATTTCCTGGCTCTAGGGGTTACTAGCTACACTCTGTTTTTGTGCTATAACCATTCATGGGGAGTGTCAGTGGTTGTTTGATTCCTGACTTGATAACAAGCTGCACAGCAGGTGTGGAACTAAATCCATCCCATGGGTCTAGTAAGTAATCATCCGCAGGCTTCAGTAGCATCTCATTTTTTAATTCATTCCTTTGATTTGATTTATTGTAGTCACATGTACCGGAGTACAGTGAAAAGCTTTGTTTTGCAAGCAATACAGGCAGATCATAACGAACAAGGACATACATATCATAGTGTGCGTGGATGGGATATGGAAATTGTTGACTGGGCCAATGTTTCTTGCCCGTCCCTAGTTGCCCCTTGAGAAGGTGGGGGTGAGCTGCCTTCTTGAAACGCTGCAGTCCATGTGCTGTGGGTTTACCCACAATGTCCCTTAGGGAGGGAGTTCAGCAGGGCTGGCGTTCCCATTGTCTTTTCTGGTGCCAGATCTGATGGTTTGATTCCATTTTTTGTAGCAGTTTCTACATCGGAGGGGTTTGCTGGACCATTTCAGGGAACATTAAGATCACATTGCTGTAGGTCTGGAGTCACATGTAGGCCAGACCAGGTAAGGATGGCAGATTTCCTTCCCTAAAGGACATTAGTGAACCAGATGGACTCTTTCTTTTGTTAACAACAATCAATGATATTATCACAGTCACTATTACAGAGATCGACATTTTTAATTCCAGTTCTGAGTTGACAGCTGCTGTGGTGGGGTTTGAGCCCATGTTTCCAGACTGCCAGCCTCTGGATTAACTAGTAACAGTTCCACCACATCACCATTCTCTGGGACAAATGGAGAATGCTGGAGAAACTCAACAGGTCTGCCAGTGTCTGTGAAGAGAGAAACAGAATTTGTTTGGAGTCTGGTCTGACTCTTGTTCATAAATTAGATTTCCAGTATCTGCAGTACTTTGCTTTTGTCACATTCTCTGGGGCTCCTAGTCCAAGCCCTCAGCTTCCTAACAGTGAACCACCTTATCTCAGTTCACCATCTATTCCATCATATCACAGTCTTCTTGTCTTTTCTTCCCCTCTGACCTCTAGGTTCTACTGAGCCCCAAAGGCCATTCTCTCAACAGCCCATGGGGGGCTGGACAGAAAGCTCACCCCCTCAACATCCTGAGCCTGTACCAGAGGAGGGATTGGAGGATGAACTGCCCCCACAAATGCACCAGGTAAACAGCTTTCCATCCTGGTAACCAGAGCAGGACAGGCCCAGACTGTGCGGAGGTGTTTGATACTGAGGCCCACAGAACGTGAAGGGTGGGGGCTGGGCAATTGAGGCCTGCATTCTCAGGAAAGGGATGGGATTGGGCTGTTGTGGGGGAGGATCTGAGGATCAGAACCAGTTTGTTGACTGATTGTTTTGTTTTAAAGGTGTAGTTGATCTGGAGTATCTAACAGAGGCAATGAAGATGATCCGAGAGTTTGGGGCTTACAGGTGCTTGCTGCTGCTGGATTATCCAATGCATGGCCCCCTGGTGTGTGTTTGATTTAATTTGTTGCAATCAAATTGGTATTTGTGTGATTGGGTGATCAGGTATGTCAAAGTGTGCCCCAAAATGTTCTGATGAATTTCGCCATTTTTAATAAATCATTGTGAAAGTGTTTGAATATTTATTTTTAAAATATCCCTCTGGTTTCCTAACCATCAGAATTTTGAATACAGTTTTAAATAACCCAAAGTCTGCTGCTCCCATGACAGGGCTGGGTCAGTGACAGAGTTGGTCTCTCTTGTCTCTCTCTCACACTCTCTCTCTGTCTTCTCTCTCTCTCTCTCTCTCTGTCTCTCTCTCTGTCTTCTCTCTCTCTCTCTCTCTCTCTCTGTCTTCTCTCTTCTCTCTGTCTTCTCTCTCTCTCTGTCTCCACCCCCCCGTCTCCGCTCTCTCTCTGTCTCTCTCGCTCGCTCTCTGTCTGTCTCTCTCGCTCGCTCTCTGTCTGTCTCTCTCTCTCTCTCTCTGTCTGTCTCGCTCGCTCTCTCTCTGTCTCCTCGCTCGCTCTCTGTCTCTCTCTCTCTGTCTCCTTGCTCGCTCTCTCTCTCTGTCTCCTTGCTCGCTCTCTGTCTGTCTCTCTCTCTCTCTGTCTCCTCGCTCGCTCTCTGTCTGTCTCTCTCTCTCTCTCTCTCTCTCTGTCTCTGGGCAGAGATGCATTTTTGGATTGGTCATTATTTGATCTTCTCTTAGTTGTTGCTTGACTCTTATTTTCAATGCTGTTCTGTTAAAGGGACTTTTTGTTTGTTAGATTTTAGAAGTCTGAGCAAGCAGAGTGACGAATCTGTTTATTCCAGTATGGGGCAGCATTTCATTAGCAGGGAAGCTCATTGTTATAGGAACATAAGGACAGATGTCCATTCAGCCCCTTGAGTCTGTTCTGCCATTAATTCTGTTCTGATTGATCAGTTTCCATGTCCCTCCAAGGGGATAATTCAGTTGGTCACATTCCTGTCTCTGAACCATAAGGCCTGCCTGAGGCAATCAGCTGACAGTATTCCTGTGTGCTCAAGTGGTTGTAATGGCATTATCTCACAGACTAGTTTTAGAATTTTTCCCCGATATCCAGGCCAATGTTTATCTCTCAATCAATATCTGATAAAACTGATGATCAGATAATTATCCCATTGCCATTGGGGTGGCAGTTTGCAGTATGTTCATTGGCTGCTGCATTGTTTACATTATAACGATGACTGTTTGCTGTCAAAACCATCTTTTATCTGTGAAGGATTTGGGATGTCCAGTGAACTTCAACAAAACTTTACAAAGGTGCAGGCCTGGCGCTCTATTCTTTTTCTGAGGAAGAGTTATATTGGACTCGAAACATTCACCATTTCTCTCTGCACAGACACTACAAAAGCTGCTGAGTTTCTCCAGCATTCTTTTTTTATTTCAGCAGTGAATAGCTGATACTCCTTCACGGAACAAATATCCATCAAACTCTGCTTTGTTATTTCTGTTGACCCCCAGAATCCACAGCTTTTTCAAGTCAGTGTACTCCAGATCTCCACTCCCTGTCAGTGAGGACCTGGTTCCTGACTTCACTCCCGAATGACCTGGCTCTGATTTTAAAGTTCAGCCCCTTGTTGTGGACTCCCTCTCTCTATAACCCCATACCCCAGTTGACCCTAAGGCAATAGTTTCCACTGATCTGTTCTGTAAACTCTCCCTTAATCTTCTTGGTGAGATCAGCCTAGTTGTATTGCCACTAGACTAATAGTCCAGAGACCCAGGTAAATTTCTGAGAACCTGGTTTTGAATCCCACCACAGCAGATGGTAAAATTCAATGAAAATCTGTCGTTTAAGGTCTAATGATGACCTTGAAAACCATTGTTGATTGCTGTTAAAAAAAACCCATCTGGTTCACTAATGTCCTTCAGGGAAGAAAATCTATCCTAGAACAAAGAACAGTACAGCACAGGAACAGGCCCTTCGGCCCTCCAAACCTGCACCAATGCATTCTGCCCTTCCAAATTAAAACTGCTTTCGTTTACAGGATCCATATCCCTCTATTCCTTTCCTATTCATGTATTCGTCCAGGTGCTTCTTGAATGCTCCTATTGTGTCTGCTTCCACCACCACCTCTGGCAGCGCGTTCACAACCCTTTGTGTGGAAAAACCTGCCTCGCACATTTCTTTTAAACTCCACACCCTCTCCCCAGCACCTTGAACCTGGGTCCCCTAGTAATTGACCCTCCACCCTGGGAAAAAGCCTCATACTTTCCACTTTATCCATGCCATTTACAATCTATTAAACATTTATGAGGTCACCCCTCAACCTCCTGTGTTCCAATGAAAACAAACTCAGTCTATCCAACCTTTCTTCATAGCTAACATCCCCTAGACCAGTCAACTTCCTGGTAAACCCTTCCTGTAATCTCTCCAAAGCATGCACATCCTTCTGGTAGTGTGGTGACCAGAACTGTACTCAATATTCCAAGTGTGGTCTAACTAAAGTTCTATAAAGCTGCAGCATAACTTGCCTATCCTTATACTCAATGCCCCTTCCGATGAAGGCAAGCCTGCTATAGGCCTTTTTTACTACCTTATCAACCTGCGCTGCCATCTTCAGTGATCTGTGGATCTGCACACCCAGATCCCTCTGCGTATCAATAATCCTAAGGGTTCTGCCATTCACTGTATAATTTCCACCTGTACTTGACCTTCCAAAATGCATCACCTCATATTTGTCTGCCATTTTTTTCTGTCCATGCCTCCAACTGATCTACATCCTCCTGTATCCTCTGACAATCCTCCTCACATCTGCAACTCCACCAATCATTGTCTTGTCTGCAAACTTACTAATTAGAGCAGCCATGTTTTCCTCCAAATGATTGATGTAGATACCGAACAGCAGAGGTCCCAGCACTGATCCCTGTGGAACACCGCTAGTCACAGCCCTCTATTCTGAACTGCATCCTTCCACTGCTACCCTCTGTTTCCTATCACTAAGCCAGTTCTGTATCCATCTTGCCAGCTCACCCCTGATACCATGTGACTTCACCTTTTGAAGGTCATCCTTACCTGGCTTACATTTAACTCCAGACCCACAGCAATGTGGGTAACACCTACCTGCCCTCAGAAACAGCCCTAACAAGCCACTTAGTTGTATCAGTCATTATAAGGAAAAAAATAATGTAACTGGAATGATCACCTGGCATTGACCTCGGCAACGGAAACAATAACAGCAGAGACAATCCTATCGACCCTTCAGACTCCTCCTCACTAACATCTGGGGGTTAGTGCCAACATTGGGAGAGCTGTCTCACAGATTAGTCAAACAACAGCCTGACACAGTCATACTCACAGAATCAAACCTTACAGACACTGTCCCAGACACCACCACCACCACCTTCCCTGGACAGATTCAGCCAAGAGCATAGAGTCAGGAGGGAGTTGCCCTGGAGTCATCTACATTTACACTGGAGCCCATGAAGTCTCATGGTACTAGGTCGAACATGTTGATCAGCCATATCTTATTGAATGGCAGAGTAGGCTCAAGGGATTGAGCAGCCAGTCGTGTTCTTTGTATCTTAATATGTTCATAACAGCGTAGATAAAAGATGCAGTGGATGGTAATATATTTGGATTTTTAGAAAGTCTTTGATCAGGTATTACATGTGAAACTAATTAGTAAGAGCCCGTGGTGATGGGGGTAGTACTTTAGCATGGATAAGAGGATTGACTAACTCATAGAAAACAGAATTGGATAAGGAAGACATTTTCAGGATGGCAAACTAATTAGTGGTCGGTGATGGAGCCACAATTACTTACAATCTATATTAATGACTTGGAGGAGGGAAATGAATGTACTGTCACGAAGTTGTGGATGACATAGAAATAGGTGGTAAGGCAAGTGGTGAGAATGACCGAGTCTGTGAGGGATATAGACGGGTCAAGTCAGTGGACAAAGACTTGGTGGGTGGATTATAATGTGGAAAAATGTGAGGTTACGCACTTTGGCAGGAAGAATAGAGAAGCTGAATATTGTGTATCCTAAAAGTAGGGAGGTTTTGAAAAAAACTGTACAAGGCACTAGTCAGACCACAGCTGGAATACTGTGAACAGTTTTGGGCCCTTTATCTGAGGAAAGATGGACTGCCTCCAACATTAGTCTAGAGAAGGTTCATTCAGCTGATCCTGGGTATGGTGGGACTTTCTAATGAAGGAGAGGTTGAGTATGTTGGGCCTGTGCTCAGGAGTTTAGAAGAAAGAGAAGTGACCTTGTTGAAAAATATCAGATTCCAGTGGAACTTGTCAGGGGAGATAGCGAAGGGTTGTATCCTTGTGGGAGAGCGTAGGATCAGAGGGCATCATCTCAGAATAAGATAATGCCCCATTTTAAGACAGATGAAGAATTTCTTCTCTGAGGGGAGTGAATCAGTGGAGCCCTTTACCACTGAGGGCTGTCAAGGTTGGGTTGTTAAGTATATTCAAGGCTGAGACAGATTTTTAATCAGTAATGGAATGGAGGGTTATGGGGGAAAGGCAGGAAAGCGAAGTTGAAGATTATCAGATCAGCCATGATCTCATTGAATGGTGAAGCAGATTTGATGGGCTGAATGGCCTACTGCTTCTACATCTTGTGGTCTACTGGTCTCATGCCTTCCTTGAACTGTGCTGATAGACTTGGTGTGTCCCTCCACTCCTTTGAACCTCTCTCCCACCTTGTACAGCACAGCTTGATCACTCCTAGCACGACTCCCTCTCCTCCCCTATACCCACAAGCATGGGACTTTGTCCTCAACCCTGCCTTTCACTCCACTCAGACAGGATCCTATGTCACCCCTTATTCAAGGCAGGGTGGCCCTACCCTGAGTGTGGCTCAGATTTTCCTCCCCAACACTGCAAAGGGCTCAGTACCTATTCTGTTCTTGCCTTGCTCACCCTGAGATCTCTCCTGCTGCAATATTGTTACATTTCAATCAAACCCTTTGATCTGAGCTATTCACCCACACTGTGTCTTAATTGTAGCTGCAAGCACCATCCACATTTCCTTGAATCTCTAAATGTGAGGCCATTGTTTTATTGACATTACAGCTCATATCCAAGCTCCCAGCTTTCTCAGCGAATGTTAAAGCTCCCAGGTTTCTGTCAGGACAGCAGAGCAGTTTACC